TTGAGCAGAGCATCGGAGAGAGTACTGTCAACTGGGTTGAGGCTTAGACTTCTCTACGGCAAGTTGTCGAAACGTCGTCAAGTGATCCATCTTGGGAAGTAGGCCCATTCAGTTGCAGTGTTAATTAATGGCTTGTTCTTCAGTTGAAAAACGAGAACACACCATGCGAGTACAGTATCAGTGAGTACAGCACCTCGTTCCCTCAGTGTGGAGCTGTAAATTTGCTGTGCCGGGCTTAATTAGTACCAGCAACTCCGAGAGGGGGTTCAAAACCATAAACATCTGTGCAATCGGACGCCTGAAAAGTTTCACTCGTTTAGTTTATCGCGCCGAATTAGTGAGCCGGTCCGTCGCAACCAGGGAAGAAGATGATACCGGGAAGAAGTGAGAGATCGTGGCTGTGCGTTGTTGCTGTCGTGTTGGTCCTTCTCCAGCTTACTCGGCATGTTCACTCCCAGAGCTCGTCCCCGTCCCCGACAACGCCAAGCCCTGCCTCTTCCGCCGGCGGATCCGTACCGCCTGGCACGGCTAGCGCTAGCGGGACCGTTGCTAGTGCTATTTCCGCCGCGGCACCGTCAAGTGCAGGTGACAACTCGACAGATACGCCTGCGATGGCTGGTGCCAATGAAACAAGTAAGGGTGCAGTTCAAGGAACAAGAAGAGCAACGTGGACAACGGACTTTCACAATAGTGCGCCACCAAGAGTTTGCAACACGTTGTCCAATCATAACGCGCGAAATTTGTCGACCCTTTCCAAACGCGCATTGGGTCGACAAATTTCGTGCATTGTTATTGGCCAATGCGTGGCAAACTCTTGGTGGCGCACTATTGTGAAACGGCTGTATTCAAAACGCGTTGGTCCAATCGACTGGTTTCTCTGTACACCTCTTTAGTTTTAGTTGTGCGTTCTACATTTTCCACAAAAGTCCCAAGTTTGAATACTTCTCTCCATTTTTAAATTTTCTTGATCAAAACAATAACTTATACTTGTTCACAACCGAGAGAACCGTGCAATTTTATGAATTTCGAATCGCATGTATGAGACCAAAAAAGTCCCCGGTCTCTGGTCAGGGGCTGTGTGTGGTGCTTTGACGCGGCTTTTTTTGCCCACATCTAAAACACGTTAGAATTACGCCGTAACATGACTCCAGTTTATCAAGCAAGATTGGCAGCTTTTGACATCGTATTTTACCAACAAATAACTTTTTATCGACGCGCAGGTCCGCGGTGACGCGCGCACTGACCAGAAACCGGAGATTTTTTTGGCCTATATTCCTAATTGTTCCGCCCACGTCTTAAAGAAGTGCAGAGATAAAGCGGGTGAGGAAATGAGTTTTATTCTGTTTCAGAAGTAGCACGGCATATAAGTATTACACAGGCAGCAAACACAATTGGGCGCTGACAGTCCGCTTCAGGCCTGCTGGGATTTGAGCTTGGGCTATAATGCCTCCGAAATGTGATAGCTTTCCGTCCCGGATATTTTGCTCTTCGAAGGAGAATTGTGATCTTGAAAACGAATGTAGCATAAAAGGGTGCATTTCTGTTCTCCTCCAACAGCCAATACAGCCATGCCAGCAGCGACCGGTAACATCACCGCGACAGGGCTCACCAGCACCCAGAAAACCATCATTATCGCCGCCTGCGCAGGCGGTGGAGGAATCCTGATTATCGTCCTCACCGCTGGCCTCGTCTACTGTAAGGTCAAGGCGAACAAGCGCCGGAGAGTGCAGGTGACCACGGTTGGACCCCCGGTCGACGCTGCTGCGGCCGACTTGAGCGACCGTGGCCGATAGGCCTTGGACCCTTGAGAACAAAGCACACGGGGGGGGTCACTGGTGGGGGGAGTGAGATTGAAATCTTGTGTTTTGTCCATTTTTGGGTCATGTCGTTCGGTTTTGAATTATTTAAAGAGATTGTGATTGGTCAACGCGTTGCAAACTTTTGGAGGCGCACTGTTGTGAATCATCCATATTCAAAAGAGAAAAAAAACCTACAATAAAACCCCGAAGAAATGATTTAGAAGATGATTTTAGGGAGACAAGGTAATTGACCGTTTGTTTGGGGTCGGATTGCATGGAAACTTACAGTCATAAGAAGAGGCGTTCCCCGCAGTAATGAAAGGTTTTTTGGAGGGGGGTAGTTATGCTTATTGTCTCTTTTAACCCTTCAATGTACTTATGTTTTTTTAAGACTGCAGAATGGACGAACTCGGTATTTCAAAAAAGGTAAGGTTTTTCGAGCAAATCAGCGCGTGAGTCGATACTGATAGGACCGACCTTGCGCACGTGTATTGCTGTTCTCAAGTGACCTCCGACGCGCTTCAATTTGGGCTTGCGCTTTTGGAATACCGGACTTGCTCACTGGGAATTTTAGTTTCCTTTTAGTAGTTGTTTCATTGGTTGATGCACGTTCTTTATCAAATTTTGCTACCATTTAAAACAGTGTCGTAAATTTGTACAAAAACAAAACGCTGCCTGGTCATGGATAATTGAAAGGGGGTATGAAACCATGTGAACCTGGGGGCGCTGTTCGTGATACTGATGTAGAGTACATCCTTAACTTTACGCCAACAGCGAGTTAAAAGCTGTTTCTTTATGTTTTCCCGTTTTCAGTTTTAATGACTGGATTTTGTTGACTGGGAAGTTCGTTTTCTCTCCACGAAAAAGTGGGAAAGATTAAACAGCACCCCCAAAGTGGAAGAACACCCCCCAAAAAAGAAACTACCCGGGAAATACAGCCCCATCCCGGAAGATTTACGCCCGTTTTTAAGAGACCCGTAGAGTGGTCCTGTCCTCATGTTGCATATTGGTTTATTAGATATTTGTAGGTGTGGAGCTTGTTTTGTGTTGTTTTCATAGAAAGACTGCGTGATTGCGTTTTGATTGACTATTTTTAAAGGCAAAATTGAGAATAAAAAGCATTTGTGATCAAGACAACTATACGTTTCGTAAGTGTGACGTCACTTCAGCTTAAACCACGCCCACTGCACACATGCACGGCACATAGGGATACATGCATTGATCAATGTTTACGTGGAACCGTGGAACTGGAAGTTAACGCGCAACTTCAGCGATTGTCCAATGAGAACCTGCAAATCGTGGCGCGTCCGCCTTAGTGACGAAGTCACTTACAAACCGGATGCTTATATACACAGCCAGAGGCGTAGGATTTTTGGGCCGTTTTCCAATACTCAACTTCGTCTCCGTCTCAGGCTTCGTTCCCAAATCCAATCCTCGATTGTGGGCCTGAAGCCTTTAAATTAAATTGTACTACTGTAACTTGTGGTTCTCTTGCATCTTATTTGATGTTTTGTGGCACTTATTACTGGGCCTACAACTTCAAAGTCAGCTAGTTAAAAAACGGTTGAAGCCTGAGACGGAGCCAATGTTGAATATTGGAAAACGGCCTTGGGCTCGTGAGCAGACAGTCGAATTTTCAGAGTGCATGCCTACAAAAGGGCAAAGTATAACAATNAACCATTCCATGTACTTATGTTTCTTAAGACTGAAGAATGGACGAACTCGGTATTTCAAACTATTGATTCGAGCGAATCAGCGCGTGAGTCGGCGAACGGTCCGACTGACAGGACCGACCTTGCGCACGTGTATTGCTATTGTCAAGTGACCTCCGACGCGCTTCATTTTGGGCTTGTGCTTTTGGAATACCGGACTTGCTCACTGGGATTTTAGTTTCCTTTTAGTAGTTGTTTCATTGGTTGATGCATGTTCTTGCTACCATGTAAAGTAGTGTCGTAAATTTGTACAGGGGACGTGAGGTTATGGGGCATGACGTAAAAAGAAAAGTAACACTGCCTGGTCATGGATCATTGAAAGGGGGTATGAAACCATGTGAACCTGGGGGCGCTGTTCGTGATACTGATGTACAGTACATTCTTAACTTTTCGCCAATAGCGTGTTCAAAGTTGTTTCTTTATGTTTTCCCGTTGTCAGTTCTAATGACTGAATTTTGTTGATTGGGAACTTCATTTCTCTCCACAAAAAGTGGGAAAGATTAAACAGCACCCTCAAAGTGGAATAGCAACCCCCCCAAAAGAAATTACCAAGGAGATACAGCCCCATCCTGGACGATGTACGCCCGTTTTAAGAGACCCGTAGAGTGGTACTTTCCTCATGTTGCATATTGATTTATTAGATATTTGTAGGTGTGGAGCATGTTTTGTGTTGATTTTATAGAAAGACTGCGTGATTGCGTTTTGGATTGACGATTTTTAATGACGAAGTTGAGAATAAAAAGCAGTTGTGATCAAGACAACTACACGTTTCGTAAGTGTGACGTCAATTCAGCTTAAACCACGCCCACTGCACACGTGCACGGCACATAGGGATACATGCATTGATCAATGTTTACGTGGAACCGTGGAACCGGAAGTTAACGCGCAACTTCAGCGATTGTCCAATGAGAACCTGCAAATCGTGGCGCGTCCGCCTTAGTGACGAAGTCACCTACAAACCGGATACGTTTAATACACAGCACGCGGCGTAGGATTCTTTGGCCGTTTTCCAATACTCAAATTCGTCTCCGTCTCAGGCTTCATTCCCAAAACCAATCCTCGATTGTGGGCCTGAAGCGTTTAAATTGAATTTTATTACTGTAATTTTTGGTTCTCTTGCATCTTATTTGATGTTTTGTGGCACTATTGGACTAATTACTGGGCTTACAACTTCAAAGTCAGCTAGTTAAAAAAAACGGTTGAAGCCTGAGACGGAGCCGATGTTGAATAATGGAAAAAGGCCTTGGGCCCGTGAGCAGACAGTCAAATTTTCAGAGTGCATGCCTACAAAAGGGCAAAGTATAACAATTGCAATGGTCGTACCGGGTGGGGGAGCTCTTCTCTCCCCGGAAAAATGAACAAGCGAAAAGAAAGGAAAGGCGAACGATAGGGAAAAAAATTGGAAATTGACACTCTACCACCGCCGTCAGTAATTTGTCAATCTGCGACTTTCTACCCACTGGAGAAAAGCGGAGCCTTCGTTTGTTACATGCATGCACGAGTAACTGACACTATATGTTACGTGCACGCGTGACGGAGGACATGTAGTGGATGTGATCGATGCGTAGCCTACTTCTCAATGTAATAATACGGTCGTTTCACAATAGGGCGCCTCCAAGAGTTTGCAACGCGTTGGCCAATCACAACGCTCGAAATTTGTCGACCCTTTCTAAACGCGCATTGGGTAGACAACTTTCGCGCATTGTGATTGGCCAACACGTTGCAAACTCTTGGTGGCGCACTATTGTGCAACGGCCGTATTGCTATGGATTTCGGGGATAAGGTCTGACCGACGCCTGTAGGCCTACATTGTGCCTCTCTCGCGTGCCCAGTAGATTTTAGACGATCGACCTCCAAGCCTGATCTGAAATCACCCGACCGAACCGAAGGGTTTCTCACATCGCTGCTGCGCTCAAGGCTGGCGCGTATCAAAGTTTCGTGAGAACAGTCCCCAAGGTATACGACAAGACTCTACTACGAGGGCACAAGAATTACAACCAGAGGGGCTCTAGTTTGCTACCGTTCATTTTTTCTTTCCTCTAAAAGGCAGTAAATAATATAAATGAGCCATCGAGACAAAAAAAATCCAAGCTTTTTTTTTCTGGCAGGGAGGATTTTAGACACAGAATGTTGACACGAGGATCGTTCAGTCAACACTCCATGCACACTGTTTGTACATGAACCCCTGCAACTCGGTGTCATATTATATTCTGTACCCCTTTAAGTCTCTCTTCCTCACTATGGGCTTCCAGCCTCTAATAGATGAGGTTTGGATGGCTGCCATCTTGCAGACCAGAGCTTTTGTTCCACGGGTATGCACAAAGGAGGTTTCCCTGTGGAACAAAAGAACTGCCCTCACGAAAATCCTCTGTACACATGACAAAGCATACTCAATGTGCAAGTCATGCGCACTACGCAGACAGTAAGTCCAATGTTCACGAGAGTCCAAATTTCACACAGCACTAGCTCCGTAACAGCGACCTCAGTTGCGAGTACCTCGGAGGCAAGAGCTGAGGTAATGTGACAAATGCCCAGGTCAGGCCGTCAGCTACATGGGGTTGAATACGGGGTGGGGCAGTGAAATGGTTACAGCAAGATAAAAAAAATCCAGAATACCGGACTTGCATTTTGACACTTCCAATTAGGCCACCAACTCGCCACAAGGATTTCAACACATAATTGTTTTTATTAAGTGAGGTGCATTCAGTTTATCCTCAATACGTTCATTCAAAACAACGCTACACATTCGTCATTTTTAGGTTCGCTTCGGCAAAAATAGTAACTCCATTGTCAAGTCACTTCCAAGTTAATATGACTTCAGAAATCAATAATGACTGACAAAAGGTGACGAGTGAGTTATTTGGGAATGTTCCAACTGAAAAAAGGTAATATCAAACTATTTTCAACAATAGAAATTACACAAGGCTAATTGGTCTTTCCGGAATGGGGTATAGTGAGGTTTTCAAATTACTGAAACATTTCAGGGAACCCTTAAAACGGGAGACAAATCGAAAACAAAAAGCAATAATATAACGCCCGTGATTCAAAACCTCAACTTGGCAAAAAAAGTCGAAGTTAATGACATGGGACCTTTAATCAACTGCATTTGTTTCATCATAATGTAGAAATAAGCACAGTTCAGAACCAATATTCCAAGACGAATGTGTATCGTTGTTTTTTGTGTGATCACTGACTCTACACATACATGTGCAAGAAAGCATATGACAGGTGAATTAACGTATCGATGTTTAAATGGAATTCTGAGGAAAATCGGCAGACTTTCCAAGACATTTCAAGTGTTTTTGCTGAGGTTTTGTCTCACGTTAAGCCTCAAAATAATCTTGAACCTGAAGAAAATGTACATGAGTAAAATTCAAAGTATAGAAATATGACTTCCATGAAGTTCCAACCGCATTATCATTGCAAGATTCCTGGAAGGTAAGGTCCAAAAGGTTTCCAATGAACAACACAGACTTAATCAGAACAGTGAGCCTGCAAGCTTTCAAGATTGTTACACCTGACCAACTTTTGGAAAATAAAATGACTTTAACCGTGGGCGGTGCTGACATATTTACTTTTCTGTCAGTGAAACAACTCGACCACACCTGCAATGACAAAGGAACTGTACATGTAAATGAATGAGATGGGATGACGTCGTGACATAATCCCATGAAACCACTGGTGACTGGCTGATCGTTTCGTGTGCGCAACAAGTGTCAACGGTTATCAGCCAATCACAGGGCCCTACTGAAATGAACGAAGCAACTCATCTGGCCCGGATGTCAAGCACAATTAACTAGCACAAGAAGGTTATACACCGATTACATGCAAATAAATTATAGATGAATAAACTTCGTTAAAATTTTCTAACCAAAAATATACGTTCAAGAATAAACCTTTTCAAGATTAAGTAGTTTACAATATTTACACCACATCATTGCTTCGAAAATTCACAGAATTGGTGCTGCTGTGCTGGAATCGTGTGCTTCATTTTCTCTGCAGCCATTTATACCTGAATGTATGGTCCACTTTTTCAGAAAAGTGCCATCTCCTGTTCTAATATTTCTCTTGCATATGCCATTTCGCTCGTCCCCCTCAGCCTTTGCAGCGCGCTGGGAGGGGCAAATGCCAACCTCGTTCTCATGGGAACGATCCTGCCGCGCCATGTTGGTTTCCAACATGTCTTGCCCGCTCTAACCCCTGGTACTGTATAATTTAAATATCCTACCAAATGTACCTTTTTGGGTGCGTTGCGTACACGATGCGTTCATGCGTTTCACTTTCACACCCCAAAAATACACTCCGTTGCGTTCGGCCGTCAAAATTGACGGATACGCAACGCTTGGCGCGTGTTGACGCGCATATGGAAAGGCGTCTTTATTGTTCAAAATTTAATGAACTCTGTCCCGTGAGTGCTCCACGAAAATTACGTCATTCATTTGCCCTTCCCAGCGCCCGGGGGTGAGGCAGGGATGTCATGAACTTGACCAGGACAAAGGCTAAAAAGAAACAGTCTCGGCTCAAGTCACAACCTAGTCAAACTGTGAAATGAACTCTGATCATTTTTTTTTTAATTTAAGACGAACGCACGTCTTTTCTGTCACATTTTGAAGAAAGCTTTTCTGCCAAACGTTTTGTCCGCTGTGAACCACCTGTCAACTGACACGGGGCCCAACTTTTTAACACCATTATTTTGACTAACGACTGAAGCGTGACTGACCGGAATTAGACTACAGACGAGAATGTGACAGCAGAGAAAATGTCGCACGATTTCACTACGTCGGGAATAGTTTTGACCCGTTTCTACCGAAGAAAATACATGAAGCCTATTTTATTCTCAAAGCCTCCACGTAACTATTTAAAGCACAACCATTCAAGTGGCATGCAGTGTGACAGAAAAACACCATTTATCCACACTTTTCGTATAATATAGTAATTTGCCGTATTTACCATTGCGTCAGGGTACAGACGCTCATCCTATCTTAAATAATGGTTTCGTTAGAATTAAAGTGTGTAATTGATTAACCATTACGTGACTACTTGCAGTAATGGTGAGTGCCAACTATTTTGTTCAACTGAGGATGCATGACTTGTTTTTCACGCAACCAACTCAATTACTTGAGATTTTGTAAGGCGTCGCAAAGTGATGCGGTCATTAACATTTCCGCGGCATTAAATAGCAGGCGACTGTGAACAAACAAATCAATTAATGTAGAAACTGACCCAGTTTGGCCCTTCTCGACTTCCCTCCCAGACAGCTAATGTCCACAACGATACAGTGTCGTGAACATCTGTTCTCGATCCATGCAGCTACCCTTTCGTTCAACTTCGTTCTCAGAGGTCAAACACCACCAATATCCTCGAAAACCGTTCCAAATGTTTTACACTCTGGGTATGAACCAATACATCCAATCACTGGCTCCGACATTATGAATATATTTTTTCTTTTCATCCAATGAGTAACTGCATTAAGTAAAGTGCGTACAACCCGTCACACGCTTTCATAAAAATCGAACGATCGATTACTCCAGCTTCCAATCACTGACATTGACACACAAAATGTCAAATTCAATCTCAACATCCCTTTCAGTCGATACTTTCGTCTCAAGATACGTTCTCAAAGTTTGCACAACAGTGCCATCGGTATCGTAAAAACAGGTAGGCCTACATGAACTACTATTTTTTCAACAATTACTTTACTTTTCGTGAAATGTTTTTGTAAGATGATTAATCGAAAATGATAAAAATTCGCTGGCCGCAAAAAGCACCACAGGCACTCAGAAGATGGACGTACGTATTTCAGTGGTGTACGCCTCAACTACTATGCGCTTATTGCTTTGTTACAATGAGAAATGCACAAGTGTGAATGTGCAGTATGCATATAGCACAATACAACATGCAGATACATGCACACGAACACACGGCTGAAAATCAAGGATGGATCTGAACCAAATTTCGGGGAGGGGGTGTGTTTTGGGGGACCACAAACTCTGGAACCCTTTTATGTAATCTTATATGGCCCTCTAGGGGCTGAAGCTTAATCTAGGTGCTTTTTGTGCGCTTTCTTCCATTATTTTTCAAGAAACATACTTTTTGCTCGCTGCTTTTTTGGGGGAGGGGGTTAGAGTTTTTTAAGATTTATTTCCAATCGAAAGAGGCCGACTTTTTTTTTCTTCGGCTTATCCTTGTTGTTGTCGCCTAACTCCTGTTCATTTTATCTAGTTTTGAGTCTTTACTGACAGAGGTTAGAAGTTAAAACCGCCCATCCCCCCAAAAAAGTCAAAATATTTTGCTTAAAAAATAATGTCAATAAAAAAATATAATAAACATGTCTCGAATGGAAATAAACGTAATGAAAAATAACAGCATTTATACAAATAACCGATGTATAACTTATAATACATGGGGTTAAAATAAAAGAAAAGATCCTTTTCGGTGGATGTCTGTTTTGAAAGTGACTATACGTATTATAAAAAGTGAAAAAGGGTGCAGGAAGGTGCACTTAAAAGGCAGAAATTCTGCCAAATACTCCATGGAGCAAAAGGATCACAAAAGTTAACTACACCTACTACAAGCTGCTTATCGTCTGCCCAAAGGTGTACATGGAAAAAGGGTAAGACTGAGAAGTATGGCATTGTGGATATTAGAGAGAACATTTCGAACAAGGGGGTGGGGGGAGGATTGCATCACTAGATCAGCGTGCATTTAAGCGACTCAGTTTAACCTCTCTGCAAAACAACATGGCTGAAGAACCCAATTTTTTTCTGTTGAGAGGCCTTACCATTTCATAGGATTATTTCACTGCCCTTAATTTGTCACTTCCAAAAAAAAATTGAGGCATTTTAAACTCAATACTGAAACATTCAAAGAGACTCTTTTCTTTGTTCACATTGGAAAAGAATATCACCGGGAAAGTGCATTGTTAAGATGGGATGTGGGATTTTAGGAATTCACAGTGTGATTTTTCATTGTTTCTTGCCCAGGCAGGCACTCACGGTCACATGTCAATACTTTCCTTGCTACAAACTGCTCAGAGACATTTTGCGAGGAAGGAAAATAGAAATTCTGGTTACATGTGGAAAATCTTTTCACAATTTTTGATTGGTTTTTATCCTTAAAGTTTGGTACTGTCTTTATGCGCACTTGCGCACCAGATATAGAAAGAACAGTGAGAATGTATCGTCGCAGCTGTAGGGAAAGTACCACGGGAAGTAACCTGTACTAGAGAATGCACTCTCGGCATATCAGACTTCACGGCCGTGCAGTCTTTTCCAGTTTTAGGTTTGTTTTGCCAACAGATGAGTCGTCATCGTTTTAAGAAAACGCTTTTGAGCAAAGGATGAGCAACTAATCACAACAATATTCATTTGTAGCCACACAGTAACACTGCACATTGATCAACTCTAAACCATTGAAAAACACGTAATAATTTGAACTTCGACAATTTATCTCCACTAAAACTTTCGTAAAATTCGACGGTGTTCAAATGCTTCTTCGTGTGCTTTTTTTGTTCTTAGTTGCTCTGAAAGGGGGGTGGTTAAAGGGAACTTTTGGGATCAATAAATTGAACTATTTCTACATGAGCAAAGGATTTCAATTCAATCTATACGTTCTCTTTTAAAACTGAGGCTTTTTTTTGATGTAGGGACAAAGTTAGTTTTCCAGCTTCTAGGGAACTAAACTGACGTTCGGTGAAAGCCATATTTCATTTTCATATTTTGAATCATTAATTTTGACTCCACATTTGGTTTTTACATGTCTCAATTTATGCCAAGTAAACGTCTATCATGATTTTGATTGCCTTCTAATTAACTTTGGGAGACAAAATTTCATCCATAGGTCTTACCTTAAGAAAACTATGTTTATATTTTTGTGTTAACCAGATAATTCTAACAAACTCTATTTTGGAAATGATTGATACCATGGCTTACTTTCATACATAAGACTTGCTAATCAAGATTGTGCACCGACCAATCAATCAACTAGATAACCAAGTTTATCCCCAAATCAAGTGGAACTAGTCTATTTGATCATGTTTGGTAGATTATGATAATCCAGCTTATCTTTTCACCAGTTATTAGTAAGTGAAGGGACAACTCATCTGGATTGAGGCTTACCAAGAGGACATGGTCACCAGATATTAATCCATGGTTGGACAAGACATTAATCATGTGGGTTACGACAATCTAGTTTTATACATTCCGATAATCCAGTTTCTCTTACTGGTACTTTGGTCAGTTCGGGGGACGTTCAGTCCTTGGGGTTTACTTTTTTGTTCTTGTTGACCTTGACGACCAGGAACACGATGAGGAGCACGATGACCAACAACGCCAGGACGCCCACGATGATTCCAACCACTGCTGCAACGGTCAGCCCTGGAGTGGGGAAAGAGGAAAACCCAAAGGCGGCTCGATGGTCAGTCACTGCCAGCCACAGGTGAATTCGCTACCCCATCACAGTGGCAGCAGTGTAGAACAGTCCCAAACTGTTGTGCTGGGCTGGCCCAGTTGCAGCCGGCAAAAGAATATTTCTTGACCTTCTACAAGTTTTTGCAACTTGCAGTCAACGGAATTTATCCCAGGTATGCCCGAGGTGGCATTTTATCCGTATCACAAATGAGAATAAATTCTGCTACTGTGAGTTTAACTGACATGAACAAAATGATGTCGGCACATGATTACGACACTCACTGGCACTCTATGCTACAGTTGGCTGGCCCAACTGTAACCCTACAGTGGGGACTGTCCCCACAGTACAGTTGGGACCGTCCTCGCTATAGTTGGGACAGCTGGCATAGTTGGGGGGGTGACACAGATTCGTGGGGAGACGGGTCATGCAGGGGTTGCTTCCCTTGCCTGCCACCCTCAGCGACCCGGGTTCCCATCCCATTTTTAGGTCGGCAAGCAGGTTTTCCTCCCACATCTAAAAGCAGAGCATTTCCCTGTCGTCTTGCGTCTACAGGTTTCTTTGGCCTTGTGAGCTACAGTGCAGTAGGTGCCGTTGAGGAATTTTGGGTGTTTTTCTCCAGCAGAAACCTCTGCTTCAAAACTTCCATCTCCCACCCAGCTTGACTAAATCCATTTAAAATGTGCCTCACTTTGCAACGCTGAACTCAAAAACGACGACAGATGTCAGGAATAAATTTCATAGCCCCACTTCGGCGAACGGTTGGCAGCAGAGTGAATGAAATATGGCTTAAAGATAGTCTTCATGTCCAGCATATTCCAGAGAAAAGTTCTTTGGGACAATGACTCAAAAAAAACAAGACAACGATAATTTCACTTACCCCCAACTGGTACCTCTGGGCCTGAATCACAAGGGAGAGAAGTCAATACACAGTGCATTGAGATCCTTAAGTTACACAACATCGTTCACGAAAGTATCAGATTTAAGAGTCTCGTGACAGGTTTGTGTGTTTGAGACCCCCCCCTCCAAACCACAAAGGTTTCAATAGCGTCTTTCATTTGATTACAAGATGAGAAAATGACTGAAGCTGTTAGAGATTTGTGAAGCATTATGGCCAGTGGAGCTTGTTTCAATTTTGAAATGAAATGTACAGAAGTATTCGTAATTTTGTTGCATTTGTTTTAATATGAAACATTTAGACATTCAATTCAGCTCTTGGCTGAAAGGTACTGATAATTAAAAATACCATTTATACTAATACAATTTAACAATAATTGTGAAAACTGTGAAGAGAGGAACACGTAGGTATTGCTGTCCCTAAGTTTTTTCTACAATTTGACTTCAAGCCCCGGCTTTGTGACAAAATGCAATTGAATTATTAGATTGCTGAATTTTCGGAGTAATTTAGGTGGGGCGTTTACCTATGAGAAACCGCCAAAAGGTAACCAAAAAAAATTGAAAGCGATGAATTACATGATTTCCAATCTTGAAGCCGGAAAGTATTTGAAACTTTCTTCCAAGAGGTCTTCCCCCTACATTTCTACCAGGGACTGCTGCAGTTACTAATAAATATGTCACTGTTACACTGGTCTTTGTAAAGAAAGACAGAAATGGAAAGAAACAATAACATAGGAACAGACGGTACAAGAAGTTTTTACTTCAACCTTTCTCTTTTGGGAAGTGGGGGGATTCGGACAGTCATTTTGCCACCACTGTTGGCTCATGATGGGGCTACCCTGGTTTTAATGTCAAAAATACACAGAACAAAAACACACTGATACCTTTGTTCACATCGACGGCCGTTGCGAAGTCGGTGAGGTGCAGGGTCTGGCAGACGATCTCCGCGCCCGGCCGCTCCTGTCGCGTCGTCAGCCCCTTCCGACTCCAGGCCTTGTCCATCTCATCGTAGTAGAGGCAGACGTGCTTGCCGTCCACGGCCGAGAAGGTGATCTCGATGGGATCTGTCAGACCGCTGATGGAGTAAGGGTTGCCTGGAGAAAGATCATGCGACTTGGTCACATTTGTTAATCAGCTCCGAGCAGAAGCACCCCCTCATCAGTTGTAAAGAGTCATATTGGTCAGGAGACCGAACATTCACTTTGTTGTTGGTGATGATACCGTAACGTGTGCATTTCACAGTCGTTAATGGACCAGCGAAGCTCAGTTCCTATCAAAGGAGCCCCCGTTGCTGAAGGAAATTGTGCCCTCTCTTGGTTCGGCTCGGGGCTTATAAGACCAGTACTGAAAACTAAACTGCCCACTGCAGGGGGCCAAACATTTTGGAAATTCTCCATGTAACATTTATGGCCTTTTTTCTCATTTTTCAAAAATAATTTTCTTTTTGCTGGGGGGGGGCTCTAGGCCCCATTGGCCCCCCCTGGATCCACCCAGTTAGGTTTGACCACAACCAAGCTAGGCAGTCCGCCTACCGTCTGCATCCATCAAGCTGATGGCGCGGATGGGTCCCGACAGGGGTTGCTTCTTGCCATTCTCGCTGTTCAAGTCCTCGGCGTCGTCGTACTCTTCGACGTTCAGCGTCATGCTCCTACCGATTTGTCTATGAGGAGAAAACATGGACATCAACGCCTTCACTGTGAACACCAGCGCTCGTTATGTGTCTTTGTGTTAATTATAAACATACAGCTCTTTAAAATTTATAAAAACCATTATGTCTCGGTGTAAGAAAGTGTTTCCACTCGATAAACCTGCTTTTGTGTCTTGTTATTAAGGCCGAAATGCGACACTGGGGTTTATTAACACATCAACACATATTTGTTTAAAAAATACACACCACAAGTGTTCAGTTTTGGATTATTAACACCACAACGCGTTCATAAAGTGTTACCAGGAAGGCATTTAAAGGTGTTTAAAAAACACTAACACTTGTTTTTTCACAGTGTTGTGACAATGAAACCAAACTAAGTAGATGGTGTTGATTGTTTCTTTCGTTTTCCAGGACTACGGATTGGCCAGTGTTTATTTTGGCCACAAATTTAGTCATTCAAAAAATCTAATTTTTGCCCATTGCTGATTTTATCGGTTTCTGCCAAACTTCGGCTGACCTCCATTTGAAGTCGGATTTCCTTTTTAATATTACTCCATCCTCCAACCCTGAGCCCTTTGGGGATAAAAAAAATATCCTCCAAAGAGTAAAAACCAAGTTTGGCTTGATGGCTGAAGGTGTAGGCCACTCAGAAAAGGAGAACTGTAATTTTCAAAGGGGGGGGGGAAGGAAACACAGCCTCACTCCAAGGATTCAGGGAACTTGAGTTTGGTCCGGCCAGCCTCGATGAGCTGATCGGCCCGCAAGGTGAGCCTCCTGATGTGTACTGAGCTACGGCCGGTCCTGGTGGTGATTCTGTCTCCTTCGGCCAGCCCCTGACCAACATGACTCATGACCGTCCTTATCATCCTCCTGATTATAACAAGGGAAAAAAAAAACAGAATGATAAAAAACTCATGATAAAAGTGCTCCATTCCACAGTATTTGGTTGAAATCCTTAAGGTCGAAAATTTGGTTTTGTAGAATCTTCCTGTGAGGTGCACAAAAGATGAAAAGTGGGGGCTAGGCTGGACTGGGTTAGGATAAATTGAGCTGAAAAAGTTGGGCTGGCCTGGGTTGGTCTGGACTTAGCTTGGGCTAAGCTTGGGCTTTGCTGGCCTGGGTACTCACCGGCAACGGTGGATGAGGGCCCTGGCCTCTGCCGTGTCTGGTGACAGGTCCATTAACACCTCGCCGATCTTCCGCAAGATGCTGTCCCGTGCTCCTGTATCAAACTCCTCAGGTCTAATGGTCAGATAGGACTCCAACATCGTCTCGATGTTATTCAACACATCATCTGTGACAGGGAGGGAAAACCATTTCGATCGTTGCAAGTAGAAAAAACACCTCCTTGTCAGACTCTTCAAAACTCCAAGAGTAGTGTACCCTGCACGTTTAGTTACTGTGTGACGGTCGCAAGATTTTGAGCAAGTTTTTACTTCAAATGAAAAATCCCCCTTGATAAATGATACCCATTTGCGACGCTTTGACACAGATGTCATGGCTAAGGCCATTTCTGTACGCACTAGCAGGGGGCACTCGTCCCAGTGCTTGAGTGAATCCCGTTGAGTTTTGTACACACTCACACAAGCTGGAACTAGTCAATTGAGGTTGAGCGTGAGTGGAGCCCTCAACTGCTCAGAACTGAGTGTACAGCAAATAAAATGCACCTTTCCCATGAAATATGCGAATCGCATGCGCACTGCTACCACTGGTTGGCAAGCGCAGCCGTTACCACTGTCGGCAGTCTAACCATAATTCCTGAATGTCAATCAAAACTGTATTATAAGCTTTCTCCGATACTTCAGCACACCTCTCTCGAAACTAAGTGAAGTTTTCAGTGTCCTGAGGTTTGGAAAGTAACAATTCCTTGTCTTTAAGTTTGGCACTCATGTCAAACTATCCTGGTGCAGAAATGATGTTATGTGCTCATAGCTGGGATCACATTACGCCATAGATTTAAGCCAAACAGTGGTAGTGATGCGCATGCACCTGCCTTATTTGCATATTTAACAGGAAAAGTCCATTCCATGACACTGCCTCAGCTACAGCATCAAAATTGCGACAATGCAGTATTAAATAAATGTACATCAAATGTAAACAAGTGAACATCAACGGTTTAACATTTGTATTAACCGCTTCGCGCCGGGACGTGGATAGAACCGCTGTAAAAATTGAGATCCTCAGCCCGCTTTTCAGCTATTATTCTCGGCCCACGCTCGAGCGAACACGGTGAAAGAAGGCATACCCTGGCTCTTGTATATATGGTAATTGGTCTTTGTGCGTAGCCCAGAAATGAAAAGACTGAATTTGCATCGTAATCACCAGCTTCACAATAGTCCCCACTTTGAAAAGAGGCAACGGGAATGTGGAAGGGTGAGTAGAGCCGCATGCCACCGCACAATCAGCCTTTTCACCGTGTAATTCAAAGCGTGCAGAGCACACTGGGCCACAAACCGAGAATCTGCCGTTTGGCAGGTGGCCTTCGTGGCCAAGCGAGAGGCTGGAATTCTTAGAGTCGGCTTTCGGGAAGAAATTCCCGTCGTCAAGGGGTTAAAGCTCAAGTTTTTAGAGACCTGAGATCATGGTATCTAACTGTAAAAAGCTGGATTTTTCGGCCCACTCCAAATGATACAACACCTGGGTAAAGTTCACGGTGGCGTATATCCACGTGTATATTCCAGACCACACACCATCAACAATGCCGGCTCTGTCAACAATGACACATTTGTCTGATCTGTAATTGCCTTGTCAGACCTTGACTGCATATGATTACTACGAGGGGCGCTTTATTCTTTGATAGTTTCTTATTATGTGGCCCTTGCTTGGCTCTCTTTTTTCCTTGTATCTTGTTTCTGAGTGCTCCAGTCTGGGCTTGGCAGTGTTTTTTTTTTTCGTTATCCTGTAATGTCGTTGAACTGTCTTGGTCATTTTCTGAGTGCTTTGTAACCTTTGGAAAAGGGGCTTTGTGAATTCTGTTATCCCTGCTATTTATACCGACCGAAACTGAGTGGAGGTATACCTTTTGATTCCTTGTCCTCCGTGTAAAAGGAATCCAGCTCAAAGGCAACGGAATCCCACTGTGAGATGTCAAGGTTGGGAAAATCGGCCGTGGCGTTGTGGAAGAACGCACGGTGCAAGTTACGCGCTTCGTCGTAGACGCCGCGCCTGCGACGGGTTGCGCCCTCGCTGTCTCCCCGGCTGTACTTGACCAGCATGCCGTTCTGGTGCAGGGCACCGACGTAATCACCTAGATGTAAGATTAAATGAAGGGGTCTCTTTTTTAACCAAAAAAGTGCTCTTCTGAGGTATTTTCGTGCAACTTGCTGATTTCACCCCCTTCCCCGTCTCCTAATTTCTCTCGCTTTTTCTGCCCGATTTTTGTTTCAATATCTATCATTCCATATTATCTAAAGAGGAGCAGGGGATGCTCTTTCCTTGTGATATCTACACACCTCAGCCATCCCTGATGCCGAATGCATAGTGGCCGACTCCCTGCGAGGGATACATGGACATCGTTAAGGGGGCAGTGCTATATTCGAGTCCAGTCACAAGTCATACTTCACATTGGCCGGTCATAAGTAACAGGGTGAACGATAGCAAAAGAATGCTTGGGTCACAGGTCCTTTGAGAAGGGTGTGAATTGGCTTAAGACTGAATGACTTGTGGTGGACTTGCAGGGACTTGTGGTGGACTTACAGGGACTTGTGATGGACTTGCAGGGACTTGAGGTGGACTTGCAGGGACTTGTG